CCTTCCTTCCTTCCTTCCTTCCTTCCTTCCTTCCTTCCTCCCTCCCTTCCTCCCTTCCTTCTTGAGGGCCAGGTTAAGGATGGGTGGATGTCCCTGACTTAGCTTCCCCCCGCCCACCAAGCATCACCTGCCAGTAGGAGAGCATTCTCCCTACCATGGGACGGGATGTGTTGATGTGGATGCTTAGAACAGTGGGTTTCACTCCCCCTTAGGTTGTCTGTCAAACAGGTAGGGTGTTAAGGGGGTATAGGATGAGCAATCTTAAGTTCTTTCGCACACCTATTACTGGTCATATCTAAACCATTTCTGAATGTGGGCGTAGTGTTCTTCTGAAAGAGTTTGAAATCCGTGCCCAAAAATAGCCGGTTGCCAAGTCGAGATGTGAGGTGAAGTGGGAGGGGACAACTGATAGTAAGTGAGCTCTGTCCACCTGTTAATCAGGACTGCTCTTTTTTCAGCTAGATCAGCAGTCAGCGAACTACATCCTATGGGCCAAATCTGCCCCGCCTGTCCTTATACAGCATGTGAGCCCAGCTCCCAAGGCAAGGGGTAGGGGTGGGGCTTTTTGGGCAGTGCCAGCAGCAGCAGCCTATCATCAGCCTCCTTGCTGGTGTGCTGGCACCATCCAATGGCTGCTGTGCTCCTTGCCCTGCAGACCTGCCAGCTGTGGCTGGGGGAAGGGTGGAGGAGAGGTGGGATCTGGCCCTTTAGAGAAAGAGGTTTGCTGATCCTGGGCTAGATGTTGCCACCTGAACATGAAAGATGTTCATCAAAGATGAACTGAATCTTTCACAAAGCTTTCTCAGCAGTAGTCAAACTATCTGGAGTCTACGATGCCAAAATTTCTTCTACTGAACCATCACACTGTAAACACTAGTTGCTTTCCATACTATCTAAAGCAATCAGTATTTTGAGAGAGAGCAACCATAAAGCAAAGGAATGGGGGGAGAAAAGGACTCTGCCACATCTAGAGTAGCTTTTGAAAGTTGGAACCAAGGAAAGAGAGAGAGGAATTATAACATTCCTGCTTAAAATAAACGCCTCCCCAGAGAATAGTATTCTTAAGACATCAGTTGCCCACCAAATGTAATTTAATGCATTTCCACTAAAACACAAAACAAAAACAAGCCTGTTATAGTTGCAGGCGATAATTGAGTTGCAAAAAATTCCTACTGGTCTTCTATGCTCCAAAACCTGTGGATAAATTATTAAAGAACTCTCCCCCCCCCCTTTTTTTTAAACAAGGAAGACTGGCCCTTGATACCATCTGTGGAGACCAGACATGCAAAGGTTAAAGAAGAAAGGGAAAAAAGATTGGCTCCAAAGAGTCAGAATGAATATCAAACAGTGGCATTTAGGAAAGTATGTAGAAAGTCATTGTTGGCTTTGGTTTTTTGGTCTTCAGTGCAAAAGCCAATGGACTTCCAGAAGTTGCTCAGCTATTGCTCCCAAGATCCCTCACCAGTGGTGGTGCTGCTTGGAGCTACAGCTCAAAAACCTGCGGGTCCCCATTCTTGCCTTGAGTCCTTCAAGAGACTCAGCAAACCTCTTGTTGAAATACAGCACGTGTATCTCTGGTGGGTGGTGGACACTGCTGGTTTGTGATGTCACTGCTGCTGTAGAAACCAGGTGTTCACTCTAAGGACAAGAGTTCTGCACTCAAGCAGCAGAAAAAAGCAGAGTGAGGAGGGAGCATCTTAAACCTGGCAGAGTCATCCAGGCCAGCCAACTGAAAACTGAACCCTCCAAAGACCTCAGGCCTCTACTATTCCATTTCCAAGTCACAAAGATGGCTCAGGAAATTGATTGGTTAAATAGCCAGGCAGGGTTGTGTCGAGTAGACTTATACAAACACAACATTCCCAGGGATGAGAACTGCGAGGTGGTGTGCTTCATTGACATAGCTAGCCTGAGCTTAAAGGAGAAGGACCAGAACAAAGCCAAGAAGACCACCAGTCAGTCCAGCATTGTTTCAGTGTCCTCCAATGACTTTGATCTGGCCTTGGAGAACTTGGAAGAGAAAGATGTCATTGTGATCAAGGATAACGAACGGAACAATGCCATCAACACAGTCTGTCTTTTCAAGCAAGGCTCCTCGGAAGAAGCCAATGTTGTGAATTGGCTCAGCAATGACCTTCAAAAGTATGCTGCTGGGTTCCAGCAGGCACTGTCCAATTTCAACCTGGCACCTACATCCAAGCCACCTTTTCATTCATCTGTAGCTGAGAAGATCTTCCAGAACACCAACAGTTCTTTCCAAGATTCTAACACGAATCTGCTGATGATGCCCGAGTTTGGACAGGGTGGCTTAAGTCATTCCTAACTTTTAGACCACCTGCCCATCCAGAAGAGCTCAGATGTGAGCTCCCTTTGGTAGCACCACCACAGCCACCACTTCTGAACTGTTCATTTGACTGCACAATATACGGCAACTCTCATATGAGTTTCAGTATTTGGTATCTAAAACCAGGAGTTGGAGACTCCTAAATAATAATAATAATAATAATAAAAAAAAAATTCTTGACATTTGTTTTTTGAGATTTTCCTTTGGTTTGTCTTTTTAAATGTCTTCAAGGAAGTGACAGTGGTTGAATGGCTTGGATCAAAAAGTCCGATTGGACATGATCAGGCTGGAAAGACAGACTGCAAAAGATGCTTAGTTCCCTTCTCCTTAGTAGTTGCCCACCTGGCAAGAAAGGACACCTAACCTAACAACCTGAACTGATCAATCCTCCACAATCATCTGTAGTTTTCACTGTGGGGGGACTTGGGTCCTGTAGCAACTTGCTGTGATTCCTGGAGGTGGAGGGTGATACATGTCACTTCCCCATGGCAGAAGACCAAAGCCATTTTGGAGGAAAGAGTGAAGGACAGGCCTCATTTTTTGCAGAGTTGAAATGGATGCGACGGAATGTTCCTTGAGAGGATTAGGCTCATGGCTTCCCCCCACTCCTCCCTTCTAAAAATCTCTGTTTATTTGCAGGTTTTAAAAATGCTTGTGGGCTTCTGTTTCTGTGACCAAAGACATGACCTGGTATGTCCTGGCGGGGAACACATTATGGCCCTAAATGGATGAACGGCAGGGGCAGCATGTGGTGTGAGCCGGTAGCCAAGTCAGCATCGGGCCGAAGAAGGAGCATTGAATCGCTCTCAAAGACAACTGAAAACCAACTTGTAACAAGGGCAATTGTAAATGAAATGGCCCATTCCAATTAGCTGTGTTGTCTGAAATTCAGTCAACGATGAGACAGTGCGTGAGCTTCACCCAGTGAATCCTCCAAGGAAAAAAGAGGGAGCAATTAAATGCCTGAAAAAAACAGCCAGCTGCTCTATTCCATACGCGAAACTCGCTGCTGAGGCCCGATGGCTGCAGACTGACTGACCACCGCCACAACCACTCTTGTCTGCCTGGACAATAGGGAACAGGCAAAAAAGATGGTCTGCAGCCTTTCTGGTTCTCGTTTGGTGCAAGGGTTCGTGGGTTCATAAGACTGGAGGAAGGGGTGGGACCTCTATCCCAGAAGGGTGGCTCTTGACCACTTTTGGCATGATTGCACGCTGTCAGACCCAACAGGAAGGAATTTGCAGCTTCATGGACTAAGTGTGTTTTGAAAACCCAGACCCTAACAGTTGTTGGTATATTGCATTCTGTTCTCTGGCTCAAAACCCCAAACATTTAGTCAAATATACTTAATTGGGTTATTGATTTAACTCATTTTTCTGGATATGCGCAAGAGATCAAGTGGCAATCTAACCAAACAGGTGGGTTTGCCCAGCATGGTTAGCCACACAAAACTCTAACCAAGGTTAACCCCAACCAAAATTGGCTTTGTGTGCACATTTTCCTGCTAGGTAAACTGACCCAGTTCATTGATCTGCTTAAGTGTCATACATGGCCCTTTTGAGTCTTAGTGTCAGCCTTACCAGGTAGATCAGACAGGAAACATGACTGGATAAGCTAATTCTACTTTATTGTAAAGCTATATTACAGGTAGTCCTCGCTTAATGACCACTTGTTTAGTAACCATTTGAAGTTATGACGGCACTAAAAAAGCAACTTACGACTGGTCCTTGCACTTACGACCATCGCAGTGTTCCTGCGGTCATATGATTGTGATCTGGGCAGTTGGCAACCAGTTGCACTTACGATGGTTGCAGTGTCCCAGTGTCCCATGTGATTGCCATTTGTGACCTTCCCAGCCGGCTTCTGGCAAGCAGAATCAAGGGGGAACCATGTGATTCACTTAATGAACATGGTGATTTTCTTGATGACAGCCACAAAAAATGTAAATCATGTGCAGTCACGTGATGCCTTGCTTAATGACCGCCCCACTTAATGATGACAATTCTCCCGCCATCTCCTTTTTTTTTTTTATCTGCACTCAATCATGGCTGATTCTGCGGCGACTGCCTGGACGAGTCCCTGTAGTTTTCATGGCAAGGTGTTTCGAAAGTGGTTTGCCATTGCCTCCTTCCTAGAGCAGAGCCCAGCTGGCGAGCACAGAAGGCGGGGTTTTCTGTTGCTTTGCGCCGTTTTCGGGCGCATGTGACTTCCACGTTACCAGCAACTGGTCCCGTCTCCCGTGTAAGGTGCCACCAGTGTTTTTCCTCCCACCGACCCATTTATCTACTCGCAGATGCTTTCGAGCTGCTGGGTTGGCAGAAGCTGGGGAGGAGACAGGAGCTCACTCTGCCACACTGACCTGGG